GCCCAAGAACCTGGACCCTCGATCCTGTTCCCCCAGATCTCCGACGCAGTGCGTGCATTTTCTTGCCGTTTTTCAACGCGCGCGCGAGCCCCGAAACTATCGAGCCCCCTTCCGAGGACGGCCCCTGACATTTCGCATCCTTTTCGTCAACCATCCCGCAGCCCGAAGACAACCTCCAGACGCAGAAAACGCCGGCAAGCCGCGATCCCCATGTCTTCAAGATGCTGGAGACCACACTACTCTGGGACAACAATTCACCGATCTCTGCGTCGGCGCCGCGCGCCTCTTGAACGGCCCTCAGAAAACCTGGCTGAAGATCCTGCTTGAAATACTGACTGCAAATTGCTGGGCCGGCGCTGCGTCGCACGATGGACAGAGGGCGCCAGCATTCCACGTCGGGATGCGGGATGAGGGCCCGGGATCTCGCGCGCCCCCCAATATTGTTTTCCAGGCAAAATCATGCGGTAAAGGTTTAATTGTTTCGTCTGGCAACACTACAGGGTTAATCCATCGTCTGGTCTGTCCCCGCCGGACTACAAACGCAAGTGTACACAAAGTGTAGACAACTGCTAAAATACATCGTGTGGACATGCGCTGTCCAAGGGAAAACTGAAAGTGAGTGCGGAGTATGTAACGTGTAAAAGTATGTCAAATGTTGGCCGTAAGACGGGGCCAACAACATAGCAGATCAGGTGTCGTCTCTCTCCTCTGCGCATGTGGACCGTAACGCGGGGCCCACTCCCTAGCATAAACGAGGCCTCCGTCGTCGGAGAGGCAGGGCCGAGCTCGCGCGCCCAACCGGTTTGCCACGCACCACCTCGGAAGACGAGGGAGGGCAGGGGCAGCAGGCAGACCTCGAGACGATTGGACAGAAACAGGCCCAGAACGCGTCCTGGGACCCGGACTCGGAAGATTCGAACTCCCAGGAATTCGTATCCGGGACGCCCTCCGGACGCCCTCCCGCAGGCTCTCGGCGAGGGGCAACTCAGAACAGAAATCGCCCTCCCAGGGTCCCGAAGTGTATGTCACGGTATCGGTGCATCAGAGGAACATAAAACCATCGAAGTTCCTCAACATGAGTATATGCGTACAACTGGTATCTTGCCTCGGCCCCGGTTCAGACGTAAGTGCCATGATTACGGCCCCCACCCCACGGACACGTGCCAATTACCAACTAATGCCGGCATCCCGACCATCACCCTATCCAACACTTCATTGCAGACGCCGTCTGCGTCGGTGTTGTGCCCCCGGTAAACGTGTTGCACTCTGACCTCGAGGACGCCGCTTCGTGCCCGGAGGGCCGCCAAAATCCCCAGCGCCTCTTCGTACAACACCCGCAACGAGGGCTCCAAGCATCTCCATGCTCCTTGGACTTGCCTTGCAACGAGAAGCGAGTCTATGTAGAAAACAATCCGTGGGGCTGGAAACTCGGGCGCGTGCCGGAGACACTCAAGAAAACCTGCATATTCAGCATAATTGTTCGTGACATCTCCGAGGAATCGCCCCAAACACGCCGCTATGCGTCGCACTCCTGGCTCGTAGCGAACGCTCCCAGAGCTGGCTAAAGTTGGAGAGCCAGTGCCTTGATTGCGCGCCGCACCGTCTGAAGCATATGTAACTGCATCGGGTGCGAAGACCGGCGGACGGGATCTCAACTGTCGGCGTTCCTGCCGATCAGAGTTAACAGGGCCCCCTGTGATCCACGGGTCAGCGCGCAATCTTTTTGCGTGTTGGACCAGGTCATCAAAAGAAAGGAACAGCTTTCCTTCGAGCAACAGCTTTCGCAGGCGGGAAACCACGCTGTTGAAAGCGAGAACGCGCTGCAAGATGGAGGCACTGGGCAGGTCAACTTGCAGCCATCTCTGTTGCGAAATAAGGCTGGTATAAGGCTCTGGAAATCGTGCTTGCAACGACGCCAACGCTGGGCAAGAATCGCGGTGGTCCAAAGCATCCCCCTCCTCACAGAAACAGAAAGGACAAGCCAACGCTGGGCGACTAAGGGCCGGCGCCAGCCGGCGAGACGTGAGCTCTCCGTTGAGCATCCTCCGCATAGTAGCTACGCGGTGCTCACCTGGAATGCTCGTCGGCATTTTCCCCAAGTTTCCCTTGACTGCGTCCCAATTCAAACCCCGGGCCCGGAGACGCATGCGTACAAGAAGCTCTGCTCTGTGTGCCTCGGCCGCATGCATATTGCGACACAGATGCCGGTGCGCCTTGGCCTCCCCAGCACGTCTGCTACCACCGCGCCCTCTGGTGCGCAGAGAGTCAGACACCGCGGCTCCCGCTATCGCATGAAAAGCATGGAAAGTGGAAGCAAAGCTTGTGAGTGGCCTCAAAGTTGGCCCTTGCCCGGCACGGAGTGTGTCCGAGCTCCATGCTGCAATGCTGTGCGCTCCGACTCCTTGACTCCTCTCCAAACGGAGAGACGAGGAGACAAGTGCAGCAATATTAGCAAGGAAGGGGTCAGCTGCCTCAACTAACGTTTTGAAGAGTCCACGAAATTGGCAGAAAACTTGAGATGGGCACCAGCGCACACGTTCCAATAATGACAACGCTAACTCGCAGATTTCGGTTTGGGCTGCCAGGCTATGCATGGCAACAAATGGAGCGCGAAAACATTCCAAGCCAGCAGTCTCGTTGCCAAGCTGGTGCGTGCATGCCGTAAGAGTGCCGAGCGCTGCCTTGATTTCGCCATTGGCTCCGACGAAAAATCCGCTTCCACAGCATCGGGACCAAACCAACAACCTAAGGATTTGTGTCTACGGACGATTTGGGGCTCAGGGGAGATACCGTGCAACCAGCTCCGTTCTTCGGGCGTCAACGTCCTATTTGGTAGCCAGGCTGTTTTCCGTGGGTTGATCATTTGACCGGACGCTCGCTCGAAGTTTCCAATCAACTGCACCACCGGTTCACCAGCCTGCCGGGCAGCGAGCGAGATGTTCAAGTCATCACAGAAACCCCAAATGCCCGTGACCCCGGGCAACTGCCCTGCCTAGCATCAGAAAAGGGTCGACGGCGATTATGTACACAAAAATGCTCAAGGGGTGGCCCTGGCTATATCCCGCGACGAAGGTGACAGGTGGGAACACGTGGCCAGAGAAAGACAGGCATGCAGTGTGATTGTGCATCAACTGGAAAATGCCATGCGCAAGTGCGGGGGGCAAGCGCGCCTTCTGGAAGACAGCCAGTTCCCACTCCGACGACAGCGTGTTAACCCCCTTCGTGCAATCAAGTAACAACAGGAAACGCAACGAAGACGGATCACGCTGCGCTAAAGCAACTGCTTCTGATATTCCAATCACGTTGCGTTCTCTCTGCCCGCCAGACGCGAAAGCTTGTTGTCGCTGTCGCAATTGCTCCGAAACTCGCCGGTCCAATATCTTCACGGAAAAGCGAGCTAAAAATTTGGCATTCTCGTTTGGCAGCTCAAGGTCTCTCACCAAGGCTGCCGTGTCAGCACCTTGCGGCTTTGGTATGGCAAACCAAGCGAAATCGGTTAGATGACTTGGTGCTGCACAGCGGCCTTGCGTGAGTTCGGCGAAGGCTTCGACGAAACCAAGCGCGAGAACAAGGGCATGAAGTTTGTACAGGCGCCCGCGGACACCAGTTGTACCAGGGGACTTGTGCTCATGCAAGGACAACAAGACATCAATCACATCAGGCACCGTGACGCATGTATCGCACTCGCTCGAATCAATGTCCCAGCCTTCCAGCAGGCGCTGGAAACTAGCTGAAGATCCTCTCAGTGATCATTGTCTCTTCAAGGCTTCTTCGCACAACTGTGAACCGATCTGCACGGGCGAATCCATATAGCAGGCGCGTTCTTCATCCCACAGCTGGCACAAATCAAAACGTTGAGGTCGACACACCTGCTTAAAATGTGTTATCGCGGACGGGTGAGGTCTAGAGCCCATGAGCGTTCCCCCGGCTGAGGGCCCGCTGCCAGCCAAGCCCTCGACGACCCCATCCGGCCCATAAACGCCATCATCCTCATCATTCTGCTCCCGCAGGATTTGGCCGTGAAGGTCCCGCAAGTGGTCAAACAAATGTTCAACGCCCGTGATGCGTATGCAATCTCTTTGTGTGTCAAACTCTGGTTCAACAGTGCTGCCTACATGGGGATAGATTCTCAACCACTTCGAGAAACGAAGTGGGTCTACCTCATGATTCCCCACGGCAGCGATGTACATGGACAGTGTAACATCAAAACGATGCGTTGCGAGCTGTGCTGTGCCAACAACGTGTGTCATATAGTCTTTGGCGCATTGCTGAGCTAAGTCTCGAAATTCAGACAACCCCATCAAACCTTCGCTTCTCGAGTCAGCCCACTCCTCAACCTTCGACGCGAAGTCTCGCAAGAAAGAAGTGTCGTACATCAACCAATCTGGCATAGGCTTCATTACACTGGCCTGCTTAAGTCTCTTGGGTGTTCTCCCCGGCCTTCTCAGGAAAGTGACAGATACAGGCATGTGATCAGATGTATTCGGATGCGGAATGCCACGCACTACAGCAACAGCCTGCTGACGGTGGGCGTGCCTAAGGAGATCAGCCCCCACTCGAGCAAAGTCGAGCGTCTCACTGACCCACCATTTGCCGCCCTCCCTGTCACGACCGGTTCTCCGAAACGTGTGCTCCTCCAGCTCCCCTGCTTCCGAAGCCCCTAAAACGTGCAACAAGTCTTGCCATGCCTGTAACACTCGGCACTTGGATGACACGCGCCCCCCAAGAGCACGTCCACGCTGCTTCAAAGCCCCTATGGCGCATTTGCTGACTGGCGAAGCGCGCTTTCGAGCCAGGGGGCAATCCGAGCACGATCAGTATGCTCAACCACGGGGTTATGAATGGAATGCGCGATGACTGGGGCGCCCGCGTCGGGTCTTTGGAGCGATGCGCGCCAATGCATTCCAGTTCGAGCTGGCCGACCTTTTGTCAATAAAGAACGTGCGCATTGGACACTGAGAGATCAGGGCCCGCTTCGCCTTCTTGCAATCGACACCCCTCTAGACCATGAGCTGGTGCTTGTCGGGGCCCACGTTGATCTCGCAGCCCTCCGCCGCGATCGAGGACGCTGAGAACCCGCGCCATTGCCCGCCAAGCTGGAGCGGTCGAACCCACGTTTCCACTGCAGCACGAACTTGTTTTTTGGCCGTCTGAAGGTGGCGCCGGGGGATGATGATACACGGGCCGAGGGCGCGGTCGAAGTCCGTGCCCCCCCCCCACCGCGAAGAGCAGGAGCAGGAGCTTCCCTCGTCGCCTCAGTAAGTGTCTCACGCAATCTCTTGACGTCGGTCTCGAGCTCCTGGATCCCCAGGTCGTGGTCGTCGATCTTCCCTTGCATGCGCAAGGGTATCCTGCCCACCTCCTGCCGAAGAAGGCACGCGTAGCCTTGACCAAGGCCTTCGCCTTGCCGAGCTTATCCTAGTGTTGCTCGAGAGACAAGATGACAACATCGTTGGAGGAGACCTGAACGCTCAAGTGCGCGGCGCTCAGTCGAGCAGCTCTTTTAAAAAGGCCCCTCGCAATAAACATACTCATGCGACAACTAACAATTTGAACATCAACACGACGACGAAAATCACGACTGGCGTCGGTAGTAATCCATCCGCTATTGGATGTGACTCGAGGTTGACGAGGCCACCACGTGGGTCGGAGGTAGTATAGCCGACCGAGACTAGGGCGCAACTCGTCCATTCCACTGCATTCGCCCCAGAGGTGCTGGGCACTCGCACACACCACGCAACTGAGGTTGTTGTCGCTGGCGCGGGTTTGGCTTCGGATAGCTGGCTTGCCGAGATTGCGATTAAGGTGATTCTGCATGTCATCGAGACGCTCCATGATGTCCCTCTGGGCCTGATCCAAGTAGTCATTGAGCGCAAGAGCCGACATGCTACGCTCATCGGAGGCGGCACCACCTTGTGTGCACTGCCTCTTCGCTGGATCTGGAGTGCCCGATCCACCCACTTCGCCATTGGAGCCTCACTTGGCAGCGCCATGATCTTGTCCTTCGCTCGAAAAGCACCAACCACAACTAACTACAATGATCGCCCATAACGACAAGAGACGGGACCGGAGGGTGCACAGATGGCATTGTAACAAGCGCATTGGCTCAGGAAGCTGAGCCAGCTGGCGGATACCCCAAAGATGATCAGGATTTCGCGATATCACTTTAGCTCCGCCCGTTTAGCCTTGAATCAAACTTGCTGCGGATCTGGAACTCTGGGTCCCCCTCCTCGTCCCCTTCTCCTCCTCCTCCTCCTCCTCCTCCTCCTTCTCCTCCTCCTCCTCCCCCTCTTCGTCCTCCTCCCCCTCCTCCTCCTCCTGATTCGCCTCCTCCTGCCAGAGAGCCTGGAGCCCCGTGATCTCGGACCAGCGCGGGAAGGCAGCGTCCAGCCTGTACTTGTCCTCGGGGGGGGGAGAAGGGCCCCAGGCTTTCGGAGGACAGAGGGTGGGAAGTAGAAAGGGGAGAACCGAAAGAGGAGGAGGAGGAGGAGGGAACGAGGAGGAGGAGGGAACGAGGAGGAGGAGGGAACGAGGCGGAGGGACAACGGGGAGGATTGACGGCAGGAGCAAGATAGCACCCTTTTGCGAAGGATTCACCTTCCATCCTTGTGGCTTGAAAGGATGGATCATCAAATTCAAGAATTGCCCAACCTGTCCTCCGTATTGAAAACGATTTGCACTCCATCCGTGTAAGCATGACTCAGCTGCAAGCGCACTGTCATGAATTCTGGGGCGCGTCTCAGCCGAGAGTCTGATGAACAAACATCGGCCTGCCAAATGTGCGACTGTTGTACAATATGATTTGTTTAAAACATCCTGAGCGGGAATCCCATTTTGAAAAGGAGCCGCCCTCCATCCGTGTACCTGCTGGGCGCTGTGAAGATGAATGGGCGCGGAGCCAAAACGAAAACCCCATTTTGAAAACGAACTGTCTTTCATCCTTGACCGGATGTCCTTAAGACAAGTGCGAGTGATGCCAAAGCGATCAGGACGTGTTTCAAAACAACCTGTCCATCCATGTAACGCTTGATCCGGTTAAAACGCGCATGCGAGCGTCAGAACCAGGAACCCATGTTTGAAAACCGTATGAGTTCCAACAGCGTAGCGTTATAATCGCGTAGGTTCGATACGATCGATGTCAATAACGGTGCTTGAACGCTACCGAAATAACTTGATGGGTTTGCCGTGGGTTCGCCTGTTGCCCGCTTGATGGCTGCCCGTGGGCGCCTCGTTGGGGCCCGGCGCGCTGGCTGGATCTGCAATTTCGCCTGGCCCCCGCTCGTGGCCGCCTGCGAACGCCTTCTGGGCGCCCCGTGCGCTGGGCGCACCACACAGCTCGCAACACACACGTATGGTATTATCCCGAAAAGACATTGCAGCCCCCTTCCGCGCATTGCTTCGATCCCCAAAGATCGTTTGCACTAACGGTTTCTCGCGTCTGCCCTGAAGAACTGGGCCGCGTGGCCGGTTTGGTGGCTATGTTGTCGCCGTCGCCGCCTCGTCGCCGCCTGGTAACTGCCAGTCGTCTGGGCCGTGTGACCTGGCGGCTATGTTGTCGCCGTCGCCGCCCCGTCGCCGCCTCGTCGCCGTCCGTCGTCTGGGCTGTATGGCCGGTCTGGCGGCTATGTTGTCGCCGTCGCCGCCGCTGCTGCTGGATTGCGCCACGTAGATCGCACGAAGAAAATCGCGCCTGCGGCGCGCTTCTAGATAGGTCACAAAATAAAGTACGCAACATAAGCTCTCCCTTCGAATAGAAATATAATATACCCCCCCGACTTTAACAATCGCAAAAACGCCCTCGCGCGCGGGCTGTCGCAATAATCCGTTGCAGCAGTCTTGGATGAAATGCGCACGCGCGCGTCGTCGCGCGCACATACCGCAATCTTCCAGAAAAACTTAAATTGTGTGCGAATTTCAAAATGAAGTGTCCCGAATACATACAACAAATGGTTTTGCGTCATCAGCTTTGATAGAAAAGCCCGCGCTCGCGGTTTTACGAGTTCTTGAAATTAGGAATACCATCGGTTTCTCGACAGTTTCGCGAAATTCGGCCAAGCGGGCCTCTCGCGCCGCATGTCGGAATCATTCCAACGCCCTTGCGCGCGTGCTGGGGGGGGGGGGGGGGACGATCCGTGTCAGACAACGCCATGCGGGCCACTTTCTCGCGTCGGCCGCGCGCGTGTCGAACTCTTCCCAAAACCTCCATCGCCGACGCGAAGACGCCGTCATCGTCGCCACCGTGATCAGCATCGGCCCCGGCGCCGTCACTGCCCGTGCCGTCATCGTCATCATCGTCGCCTTAATCGCTGCCATCATCATCGCGTGTACCGCAATCGACGTCGCCAAGATACCGCGCCCGCCCTAGTCACCGACTCGCACTGAAATGCGCGCTGGGAAGCGCCCAGCGGTCAGCGCCACCGCGGCCGCGTCGGTCGCGCCAGACTAGCTGGCCACTCTGCGCGCGCGAACATGCGCGGTAGCACTCATCGCAATCGCCGCCGCATTGGTTTTGCAGACCAAGTTGCGGGTGGGCGGGTGGGATGATTGCGGGAACGGTGGAGCTGGCAACTTCAAGTCAGGCAGGGTGAATTGCACAACATAGATTGTGCAACATAAAATTGCGTTTCGGAAAAAACACGGACCCCCCCGAAGCCAGGATTATCGATCCCCCTTCCGGGGATGCGCGATTTAAATTTGACTCTGCCCCATTCGAAATAAGAAGTCGTACGACCCGAGCCAGGCAAAATTCAACGCCACCCCCACCATCCTGCACAACAAACACTACGCGCACACTCGTTTATCACAAATCATCCATCCGTGTACAAGGATCTCTTTCAACATATGGGACGACGTGCGCACGCGCGCGCGTCGTCGCGCGCGCATGCCGAAGCCCCTCAAACACCATGGACCCCGCAAAGATTTCAACATCGAGCGCCCCGAAAAAATGCAACAACATTACGTTGCAACGTGATTGCCGCTGAAGGTCTGCGCGCGCTCTTGCGAATCCCGAGAAAACCATTTGCTGTTCAACAGGTTCATCGAATGCGACCGCGCGAGCCTCTCGTCCGCGCGTCGAAATCCTTCGAACGCGCGTGCGGGGTGGGGTGCTCGATGCCTGTCAAACCATACCACGCGGGCTCCTCGCTCCCGTCGGCCACTCGTGCACGTCGAAATCCCTCACCTCCGACGCGCGGACGCCATCATCGTCAACGGCGTGATCAGCATCGGCGCTGTCATTAACCTTGCCGTCGTCATCGTCATCATCGTCGTCAATGCCAACATCGCTACAATCATCATCGCGTCTGCCGTTGTCGACATCGCCATGATGGGTTTGGCAAGCCAAGTCGCGGGTGGGAGGGTGAGACGACTGCGCGAGCAGTGGGGTTGAGAACTTCAAGCTCGGCATGGCGATTTGCACCGCGCAGAATGCACAACATATATTGCGCCAGATAGATTGCATGCCCTATGGGGCCTGCATAGGGGGCATGAGGCGAGCCCAATAGGGCATGGGCCATGGGGCATACCCAATAGGGCATGAGGAACGGGGCGCGCTGATTGGAGCATGCCCCCATGGGCACGCCCCATGGGGCAGGCAAGGGGCGCGCCCCATGGGGCACGGGGCATGGCGTGCCCCATGGGAAGCGGGGCATGCCACACGAAACAGAGGGTATGAGACATGCCTCCTGGGGCATGACCCATGGAGCTTGGGGGATGCCCCATTGGACATGGCCAATGCCCCATGGGGCACGGGGTTTGCCCCACGGCGCATGGGGCATGCCACTTGGGGCACGGAGCCTTACAGCACATGCGAATGGGGCCCCGCCAGACATGGCTATGCCTATTGGGGGCATGGGGGCATGCGGCTTGCCCCGTGGGAAATGGGGCATGCCCCGTGGGGACTGGGGCATGAACAATGCCCTGTGGGGTATGGGGCGTGCCCCGTGGAGCATCGAGCACGGGCCATGCCCCACGAGGCATGAGGCATGCACGATGGGCCACGGCAGGCCACACTAAGGATCAGCAGACGCAGGCGCCAGTAACCGCCGCCAGGCTGACCGCCGCGACGCGCACCCGAACTATTCCAAGCCCTCCCCATGGTTCTACTGGCCCCTGGGAGGGGAACGGTGGCAAGCGTTGCCCCTATGGCAACAATGAAAATAATTCGGGGCATCGACAGACCCGAAGGGGTCGGCAGCGCGGTGTAAGCCTCACAAACAAGCACGAATAACTCATGCATACATGATCTGAAATCGTGAGTTTCGAACTCGACTCGCCCGCAAAATAATTGCGGTACCGAGGAAGAGGAGGACAGACGATACAGGGAGGGGTATGGGGGCGATGGGGGATGGAGGGAACAGGGAACACAAGCAGAGGGAAGTGAGGAAGAAGAGGAAATGGAGGGGAGGGAAGGGGAGGATGAGAGGGAGGAGGAGCGTCCTCAGAGTGTCCTGACACCCACAAAAGGTGGGAAAGAGGGAGGAGGAGGAGGAGGAGGAGGAGAACGAGGAGGAGGAGGAAGGTGACGAGGAGGACTCTTTGGTAGCGCCCGATGTGCTGTCGAAAGCTGGGGGCGGCGACCTGACAGGCCTCCTGATCGCCGCCCCGGCGCCAACGCTGCGCCGCAAGAAAAGCTTGCCCAAAACGCAAGGCGGCGCAACTCGCCGCCCGAAAGGCCTTAGTTCCTGCCCGCCGTGGGCTGCGAGGCAACCGAAAACCTCGCAGAGGAAATAAACTGGAGGCAGCAACGCGCAGACCAGCCTCGCGCAGATGACGAGGCGCCGAGCCCCGACCCAAGCCTCCGCCTGCCTCTGCAGGCCGGGACTCCAGAAGACTCGGCCGCCGCACGGGCGGGTCACCTGGCGCAAGCGCTTTTCACGCTGCGCGGGTGCGTGCTGCGCCAACCCGCCACCCACTGCCCTGGAGGCCGGGAGGAGGAAAAGAGGAGGAGGAGGAGGAAGAAAAGGAGGGGGAGGAGGACGCACACAAAAGGGGAGGAGCATGAAGGAAGAATTCCTCCAGGAAAATCTGGATCGACTCCGCGTCGTCCCCGAGCAGCCAATGCACCATGTATTCGTGCAGCACCTGCTGGGGCCTTCCGCCTCCATCACCCTACATCGTCCTCGCTACTCCACCTCTTACTCCTTCACCCCCTCCCCATACAGCTGGTCGCGGGTGCCGCGCCCCACCAACACTCAGAAGGTTGACCCCAATCCCCCGGTCCGCTGCCGAGAAACAAACTCGCACACACGCGAGCTCAACCCCCCGACGCCCCCAAGAGAGTCGCCACGTTTTCCGTGCTGCCCCCCCCTTCCCCGAGGCTTGCGCGGAGCTGCTGAGTGCGCGGAACTGCCAGGCGACACTTTTAGTTCAGCGCCCCAACGTTGTCTCAGCGCGCTGGCCACCGCCTCCGCCCTGTCCTCGTCCACGAATTGGCACTCGTCCGGGGCCAGGTGGCAGAGTTGGCGGAGGGAGGCCCTGAAGTGGCGCTTTCCTATCTCGAAGGGAAACTGGGCCACTGACCGGTGGCAGCGGCCTGTAGGGTACCGTCGCTTCTTGTCGATGTTCTGCGCGTTACCCACGCCATCGCGCCTGCTTTAACCTCGGCTTCAGTGTTTGCCTCCCCCTCCTCCTCCTCCTCCTCCTCCTCCTCCTCCTCCTCCTCCTCCTCGTTTGATTATTATTATCATTATTCTTCTTAATACTATGAATATTATTATAATTCATATTATTATTATTCTCCTCCTTCTTCTTCTTCTTCTTTTTCTTCTTCTAATTAACATTATTATTCCGAGGATGCGCCGCTGGATCTCTCCAAGGGGGTTGGGACCCCCAATCCCCTTTCCCCGAGCCGTCGTCGGGGACCCCCCTCCCTTTCCCGATCCGTCGTCGGGGGCCCCCCCCCTCCCCCCCTTTCCCGATCCGTCATCGGGGACCCGCCCCCCCTCCCTTTTTTTTTTTGACTTGCGCGCGGGTGATCGTCTGCCGAACACTCCTGCCCGCGGCGCCGAAACGACGAGCGAGGGGCCCGAAGAAGGGCCGAAAGAAGCGAGGGACGGACCAGGGCCCGAACAGAACCGAGCGAGGGACCGACCCGAGCGAAAAAGGGACAACGACAACTCGAGGGCCCGAGACACGCGATGCTGGCAAGACTGGTGAAACAATTTGAAGCCCGCGTCCTGGCTCCTGGGCTTCCAGCCCCAACCTGCCAGGCAGCACATTATACAACAGACCAGCAAGGCGGCGGAGAGCCCTTTCCTCTCTTCGCGAGCCTGGGCTGGGGGGGGGGCAAAAGGAGCACATAAAGGATGATCCTAAGCCTAGCCTATGTCCGACTGTCCGACTGCAGGGAGAAAGCATAGACAGAGAGGCTGCACAGAAAACCCCAAGCGGCGGGCGGGCAAGAGCCTTCTCTCTTTCCGAGCCTGGCCGGGGGAGGAATGACAAGAGCACAGAAGGGATAAGTGGGCGCAGGCGGAACGGGTGCCTGCTTCTCAGCGCCTCTGTACCCACTTATCCCGAGCCTATCCTACACTTCGACTGTCCGACTGTCCGACTGTAGAGAGAAGGAAGCACAGACAGAGAGGCGTGCACAGCTATCCCCGCGCGGCGGGCAGGCAAGAGTCTTCTCTTTGCGGGCCTGGCCAGGTGAGGAATGACAAAAACACAGACGGGATAAGTGGGCGCAGGCGGAACGGGTGCCTGCTTCTCAGCGCCTCTGTACCCACTTATCCCAAGCCTACCCTACTTCCTGGAGACTGTCCTCTGTGGCGGCCAGGAAGGGGAGTACTGCAGAACGACACTTCTGGCGGCTGGTGTCGGGAATCCGAGTAGTCCTGCCAGCATCAGGCAGACGAGACAGACCAGATATCCCTAGGCGTGCCCGTGCGGCTCGGTGGGCAGCACACACACCAGAACCGTTACATCCACCCCACCTCCGAAATATACACGAGAAATCTACGGGGCCTCTAGAAGCCATGCAGGATCAAACCATGCCTGATAATTAAAGACATCGTGAGGGCAGGATAGGCATATATATAACGTTGACATTGTCAACCGCAGTGACCTCACCGACTGGTTGACCAGTGCAGGGGTCACGACCATCACACATGCGTCGAAGCCGTGAGATGGTGCCAGAGGCCCGAGGGGGCCCAGTGCATAATTTAGTTAAACCAACTGCTTTCTTGCACGAGTAGCGGCCGCACCGTCGACAAACTATGATATTATTTAGCCGCCTGAGCACGTGCCCACCGCCAGTGGGAGAAGAACACTGTGTGCGCAATAAATAGCTCTTAGAACTGAACTAGCCCAACAATTCAAGCATCGAAACCGACCCGCCGAGGGGCCCCAGAAGTGCTCATGCAATGCCCCAGAGGAGGCACCAAAGAGGACTAGGGATGGGGCCGTGGGGGCGGGGGACTCATCAGAATCCACCACCCAAGCCTTTTTGGGCACGTTCTTGAACATCCATGCTATACAATGCCCGATATACACACCAAGATTGCGCACAAGCAATCCAGAGCGCTTGACACGGTCGTGCAGTGCCGTGTCCAGCGTGTGTAGGTCAGCACCTAGGTTAGCAAGTCTGTCCGCTTGCTTATTACCAGCAGAGGTAGAATGGCCACGAACCTTGGTGACCTTAATTAAATGATACCCAATATCTGAAGCCGCACGGTGGACACGGACCCACAAGGATGCGTGAGTGGCCCATCCGTGCGTGGTAGCTTCATACCCCAATGCCCATCCGTCGACAACGTACTGGGCATCAGCGACAAACTCACAGCAGTCAGAGGGGGCAGCATGGGTTAGGTAAAATAAAAACGCATAAAGCTCAGCCCCTGAGACATCCTGGGTGAGAAAGGGATATGCGCCATATGCACCAGCATTAAGCCGAAGCCGATCATTGGCGATGGCCTCTCCGAAAAACATTGCGACTGCGCGGGGCAAATGAGCGTGCGCCCCATCCACAGCGGAGAGTGAGCGGCGAGGGACCATGCTTGCCCGAGTCGTCTCCAAACGCGGGCGACGAGAAGAAAGGGCCGTCTGTGGCTCCTTCCCAGACAGGGTCTGGAACAGGTGGTGCGAGCAGGGAGCAATAGCGAGGGTCGGGAACCAAGGCAGTGGTCCAGACAGGGTTCTCGCGGTACTGCTCTATGCAACGGGTGAGGGCTGGAGTCGGGCCGAACCAACGACGAAACTCCACAAGCCCATCACACTCATACAGGGTGTGAAACACGGGGTCAGAGGGGGCGACCTGGCAAATGGGGCACACAGGTTTAAAGTAAATGCCCCCAGATAAAAAGGTCATCAAAGCACGCTGCTGGAGGACACCCCATCCTTCAGTCTTTTTAGACAAAAGGGAAAGAAGAGGGGGAAGAAAGGGGGGGCCAGACAGGTGACTGAAGGATGGGTGACGCTCAGAGGCCCGTTTCCAGGACCAGACAGACGCGTCGCGAATCACTAGTGCCACCACTTCACGAGGGGAAGTAGACGAAATATCAACGTCAATTCCAAGAGAAGTACGCCATATTGTAGGCGAAACCGCAGACCACCCAATTCTACGCATAGTGGCAACCAAAATTGGTCCTGGGCCCTGCAATTCAGTCCACGGGGTATCTGGCGTCACCTTGGCGTAGGCAAACTGGAAAACTTGATCTATCATTCCGACAGGAAGAGGCGAGTCCCATCTAGAGACAGTCCAGAGACGAATAACCTCAGCATGAGCATCGATAGCAGGATCGGTAACGCCATGCAGCGCCAAATCCACCGTGACAGACCTACGCTTACCTGTGCCGAGACCAGCGTGGTATATAGCACGGACCTGACGAATCTGGTGAGTAGATAGACCGACGACGTCAATGCCGCGCATGACAGTGGGCCGCAAGTTAGTGTTTACAATACCTGCTACCGTTGCACCAGCCTTCTTTATCTTCAATAAGCGACGGGCCTTAAACCTGGCCTTTTTCAATCGGCCAGTAAGAACAGGACGAGAACGACGCCCCTGACGTAGCTGATAGTCAATCCCGAGGTTTCGACACGAGAACTTAACTGCACCAGCGAGACGAGGAGTTTCAGCTGCAATGCTCTGAGCCAACTGGGGGTCGGTAGCCAAGAGCGCGATTTTCTTCTCGGAGAGCGGTGAACATGCCGAGAAGGTAAGCTTGCTCATCAAAAGGTGCGACGCATCGGGACGGATTTTGAGCAACTCCCTCTCCGAGCCTATCCCCAGGACCTGGACGTCGTCGGCGACGAGGCCGAGGTGCATATTTGGATAAGACTGACGAAACGAATCCAACTCGGGCATCAATAAAATACGCATAAACAGGTCGGCAAAGGAGCAACCTGCTACAATAGTCTTGCTAGCTCTGACCCACTCCCCAACAATTCGCCGCAACTTGACAACACGTGGGGAACGATACAGAGACAGAAAAACCCTCAAGAGTGCTGGATGAAAACCAAACTCACTAGCACGTCTTATGAGAAGTTTGTGGCGAACCTGCTCAAATGCCTTCTGGATGTCGAGCAAAAGTGCAAACACAGACAAACCTTTGGCAGATGCTAACTCCGTGAGCACGCCCATGCGCCACACACATGCCTGGCAGGAATGACCGCGCACACCATACACGTACGGACGAGGATGCAACCGCGCCCACATAGCACCATACGTGTGCCTGAAGAACCGAGAGAACGTGCGCACACACGTCGTGAATAGGGCAACCGTACGCTCGCCACCATCGGGCTTCGGGATCAGATTCATGATGAAAACAGCGAGAATGGGAGGAAATCTACCCAATCGCAGAACAGCACGCCAGATACCAAACAGGGCAAGGAGAGACGAGTCGGAGAGCAGCGCATGGCGACGTGGATGCATAAAGTCCAATCCCACCGACGTACGAGCTTTGTACTTGCGACACATCTGTCTGTACTTGTCCAGGGACGGGTGAGGCAAGGATGCAAGGCAGTCAGGCGGTAACGGCGGAAAATCCAGGGCCCGGCAAGGATCGTCAGGGTGCTCCTGCATGGGCCCCCAGATAGCATGCCAAGCTACTTCTCGCGCCTTGAGATGATGCTGCGGCGTACCGACT